CATGACCGGACCCCAAAAAAACAAAACAAAAACCACTATATGCACATATACTATATGTAATAAAGACTACATCGATGTGTGTGTGTGTGTGTGTGTGTGTGTGTGTGTATGTATCCTGAACGTCCAAATTACTGCTTATCACAATGAATTCCAGGCAGTGGAAACGGGTTTGGTGGTGGTGTGTCATTTGTTTTTGCTTTTGTGTATTGTCTTTTTAGGGTGAGGGAGGATGAACAAAGGCAGTCATATACTCGGTGTAGAAAATGAACTATGCAACTTGTGGGCAGGGAAGGGAGGGGAAGACATGAAGGTGTTACATTGTCCAAAAAGAACCAGAACTGTACTCATTACCTGACTTATGGTAACCCCTCTGTACAACACCTTCGTGAAGTTATATTAAAAGTTTAAAAACTATCCTGCCGTTTTGATCACCAACTCGCTCATGTGTGTGTGTGTGTGTGTGTGTGTGTGTGTGTGTGTGTGTGTGTGTGTTGGGGGGGAGGAGTTCCTGGGACTGGAACTCAGCCTGGGCTCTGCCCTTGAGCTCTTTGGCTCAAGACTAGCACTCTACCACTTTGAGCCACAACACCACTTCCAATTTTTTGGTGGTTTATTGGAGATAAGAGTCTCACAGACTTTCCTGCCCAGGCTGGTATGGAACTACAGTCCTCAGATCTCAGCCTCCAGAGTAGCTAGGATTACAGGCATGAGCCACCAGCACCCAGCTCAACCTACTCTTAATATGATGACTGGAACAGCCTCTTTGGTCAGGCCTATGTGATGTTTACTGGTCTTGGTGTTGCCACTACTCACACTGCTTTTCAAGGGTTGAATTGCTCAAGTGAGCACAGCTGAGTGTAATGGTAAGGGTTTTTTTTTTTTTGTCGTTGTTTTGTGGTGATGGTCTTGGGGTTTGAACTCTAGGCCTAGACACTGGCCCTTCGCATTTTGTGCTCAAGGCTAGCCCTCTACCACTTGAACCACAGCTCCCCTTCTAGCTTAGTTGGTAGTTCAGTGGATATGAGTCTCACAGGACTCTTCATCTCCAATAAACGACCGGAAGTGGCGCTGTGGCTCAAGTGGTAGACCACTTGCCTTGAACTGAAGAGCTGAGGGACAGAGCCCAGGCCCAGAGTTCAAGTCCCACGACTGCCCCCCCCAAAAGTCTCAGACTGTCCTGCACAGGCTGGCTTTGAACCGCAATCTCCAATGTCAGCCTTCTGAGTAGCAAGAATTATAGGTGTGATCACCAGTACCCAGCTTTGCAGTGATAAGTTTTGAGAAGAACTTGTAGCAGTAAGTTGTCCTCACACAGGGGCGTGTTTCAAGGCATGTCCCTTCTACGTGGAAAATGCCCTGTGTAACATTTATAGAACTCAAGCAATGAGAGGCGGTTGCACCTAGCATTCAGCTCATTAGCTGTGCAGCTGAGTTAGTTCATTTTGTAGGTCTTGAGTTCAGACCCAGTACTGGCATGCAGAGGGTTACAATTCAAAGGTAATAAGTAGGTATTTTTTCCCCCATTCTTTCTGGGATAATATGAAAATACTAGACCAGGGCAGGGAACTTTAGTTGGTGGTAGGAAGTGAAGGGCAGCTACTGGCCCTTAGCGATGGGGAAACACAAAAGGAGCAGGAAATGGAAAAGGAGATCAGGAGGCATTAAACTTCCTGACTTCAGGTGAGCTCAGCTCCGCAGGCTGGACTTGGGCTGCAAGCGCTCACAGGCATTCCCAATACATCCTCAACCCCCAACGGCAAGTGCTGTTTGCACCCTAGAGACTGCCTGCTTTTACTACCGAAAGTCTATGTACAACAGGTGCTTCAGTGTGTTTTGCTGCCATGAATTAACTAAAGGCAGGCAAAACAAAAAGCCTCAATGCTCAGCTTCCATCTTGTGTTTAATTTTGCTGAAGGAAACACAGGACTGATAAATCACCATGTTTGTGACAAAGGACTAAACTCAGAAGGAACAGTGGAGCTTTTCACGACAGATCCCCCCCCCACACACACACACAATGGGAATACCTTTAGTGCTCAGCCTGCATTCTTCTTAATGTGATGCTGGTAACGACTTTGTTTTGATTTCTGAAGAACTAGAACTGAGATACTGAGATACTGCCTAGCACCTGTAACCCAATGCTTCCTTTAAACCTTGTGTGCCCCACCCCCACCCATGGCTGAAGATGAACTGAAGTGCGCTCTAATTGTAGCATCAAGTCACATAACCATCTCCTTTTCCCACCATATTTCTATATTTCTTTCCTAATAAGCTTTCCTACTACTTTCCTGGTTGCTTTTTCCCCTTTCTTGTTTATTAAAATGGTATGGTCTTTAAGGAGTTTCAATTCAACATGCCAGTTCATGAGTACAGTGCATCTTGCTCAATGCCAACCCTTCCATAGTCTCCCCATTTCTCTTCTTGTCTTGCCTTACTTCTCTTACTGGACACAAGGCCCAAGGAAATTAAAGCACCTAGCAAGGTAGATATCGATATAACTAACAGAAAGATTGGTTCATTTCCTTCATTAACCTCTGCTTTTGTGCCAGTACTGGGGCTGGACCTCAGTTCCTCCACATTCTTGGTTGGCTTTTTAGCTCAAAGCTGGTGCTGTACTACTTGAGCCACACAGCTCCATGTCTCACGGACTTTTCTTCCCAAGCTGGCTTTGAACCATGATCCTCAAGTCTCAGCCTCCTGAGTAGCTAGGGTGACAGGGGCAAGCCACCAACACCTGGCTATTAATCTCTTTCAAACTATGTGAAAACACCAGGAAGATGACAGGCTGAACTTGAAGGTGCTGGCTAGTGAGAAGTGACTCTTGGATAATCCATCAGTAAGGTTGTATGATTAAAGAAAAACATGCTATGTAAAAACAAGCAGAGGCTGGGAAGGTGGCTCAGTGGTAGAGTGCTTGCCTAACATGCATGAAGCCCTGGGTTCTGTTGTGCCAGGCCGCAGACCCCCAAAGACCACCAAGGAGCGGAATCCAATGCTAGTACACGAGAGCCATTTATTGCAAGCTCCAGCCTGGACTCACAATTGTCACCAACACAGCAAGTCAGAGTTGTGAGTCCCCGCCACATGTTCAGCAGGGTTTATATAGGGTTTCCAGCAAGAGGAGGGGGTTTCCATCCTAGCAGTTACATGATTGGCTTAAGGTTCGTAGGCTTCTACATAATTGGTCAGCATTTCAAGGGCAAATTTCAGAGTAGGCTCATTGGTTAGGGGCATAAACATTTCCAGTAAAGGTAGGGGCTTTCCAACTTAGTGATTACAGGATTGGTTAAAACATACATAGCAAGCAGATCATTGGTTGGGATATATAAGACTAACCACAGGAACACAGGCAACAATATATATTTTTTTAACTGTTTATGACCCTACAGCTGCTTTTTCCAGGAACTTGACCAACTTGTCCATTTTCCAGTAACTGGGGTCATGTTTCTCAACCCTTTTCCTAACTTGCAGTTGCTAGGGGTATAATTGCAGTTTTGATTGTGGGTTTTCCGAGAACTTTTCCAAAAACTGGTTTTTCCGAAAACTGTTTGTACCTTAAGTGGCTAACTTGTGTTCTTCCTCAACAGGTTTGCTTCCTCAGTACCACACAAACAGAAAAAAGCCAGAAGTGGTACTGTGGCTCAAGTGGTAGAGTGCTAGCCTTGAGCAAAAGAAGCTCAGAAACAGATCCCAGGTCCTGAGTTCAAGCCCCCAGGCCTAGCACACACACACACACACACACACACACACACACACACACACACACACACACACACACACACACACACACCAGCAGCAGCAGCAGCAGCAGCAGAGCAGCAGCAAGAGAGCCCTGATGTTTTCATTACACCAGGCCGGGTGTAGAATCTCAACTCTGACCTCAGTATTCTAAGATGTATTTTCCTCTAAATTCATTGTAAAGCATAAGCGGTCTCATACGTACATGTGGGTTATTTCATTCTTGCTTATTGATCCTAATTATTCAACTATTTTATTTTGGCCTAATGATAACAAAGCATTTCTTCTATCAATCTGATATTCCTGCAGGGAGTTGGACTTACGTTCTCTCTTAAAATGAAATGACACATCTGGGGGTGTAACTTAGTGACACAGAGCTTGTGTGTGAAAGAATCCATCCCGGCCATCCTGAAGACCAGAGAGACAGTCACGTACAGAGGGAGGTTTATAAGGAGCTTTATTAGTGGGACCATCTTCCCCCCCATGGAAGAAGGAGCAATATGGCCCCTGCCCAGATCCAGGTGAATCCTTGTAATTCCCAGGCTAGAGAGGGAGGTACTCTGCATGCACAGCTAGGTCTGGGTGGAGGATGGGAGTGCCAATCAATCCAGGGAGAGTACTAGGGCAGGGAGGAGTTCAGGTCTGGGGGGGGGGGTATTGCACTGCTGAAATGGGAGGGGCTAAGCGCCTGGTAAGGCGGGAATGCCAGACTAATCTGCTCATAGAAGCTCTGGGTTCAATTCCCAGCATAGAAAAAGAGACAAAAAAAAAAAAAAAGTAATTGCGGGCTGGGAAGGTGACTCAGTGGTAGAGCGCTTGCCTTGCATGCCTGAGGCCCTGGGTTCGATTCCTCAGCACCACCTAAGCAGAAAAAAAAAAGCCGGAAGTGGCGCTGGGGCTCAGGTGGTAGAGCGCTAGCCTTGAGCTGAAGAGCTGAGGGACAGCGCCCAGGCCCAGAGTTCAGGCCCCATGACCAAGCCAAAAAAAAAAAAAAAAAGTAATTGCAAGCAGTGGGAGAAATAGAATAAAATAGTATTGTAGCATCTTGGAAACCTGATTTTCTTCAAATAACTTCAGAACAAGGAAGTTCTAATTTACAGGAAGATTAATCTCATGATTGGGAAATCACATAGCGTATCTTAAACCTCACACCTCTTGTTAAATAAATTTTCATGCTTTGCTTGTAAAACCATTTGGGCATTTTCCACAAGATGGCAGTATTGCTTTGTAGTTCACAAGAGAACCAGCGTCCTTCTTTTGTTCTTCATTGAGTTAGAAAAGGGATTGTGCCCAGCACCAGTGGCTCAGGCCTGTAACCCTTGCAATTCAGGAGGCTGAGATCTGAGGATCAAGATTCAAAGCCAGTCTCAGCAGAAAAATAGATGAGACTCTTACTCCAATGATGCACCAGGAAACTCTGTGGCTCAAAGTAGTGGTGTGCTATTCTTGGGCAAAAGAGCTCAGGGACAGAACCTGGGCCTTGAGTTCAAGCCCCATGACCAACAAAAAAAGTAAGCCATCCAGAATCTCTAGTCAGCCATCCAATTCCCTACAAAGTCACAAAGCACACTTCTACTTTAGAGCTCCTTTGTGTTGTCTTTTAATTAACTTTATTGAGATACAAAGTAAATGAAATAAACTGCACCCCATTTAAAATGGCTTAATAAGTTGACAAAAACACATGGCTGTGAACCCACTACCGAATCAAGATATATTTCCATCACTCTCAAAAATTTTCAATATGGAATTGAGGAGAGTGAGCAGTTGCTCACATCTGTATTCTCAGCTAATTGGGAGGAAAAGATTAGGAGGAGAGCCATCTGTGGGCAGCCCTGGCAAAATGTTAGTGAGAGCTCATGTAAACCAACAAGCCAGATGTGGTAGTGTTCATCTGTAATCCTAGTTACTCAGGAGGCCCACATGGGAGGGCTGAGATCTAAGGTCAGCCCTAGGCAAAAAGCACTAAAGAAGCAGAGGCAAGAGAATCGCAAGTTCAAGGCCACCTTGGGTTACACAATGACCCCCAGGTGAGCTTGGCCTTCAAAGTAAGAAAGTATCTCAAATTAACAAAAAAAATTTTAAAAAGAATTCTCACATCTTCTTATATTAGGTTTGTGATAATATAACCTTGATTTGTGTACATAGTTTAAAAATTAATATGATGCCTTTACGAAAATATATGGAAGGAAAATAGAAGAGAAATCATATGATAAAATAATGTATATTGCCGGGCGCTGGTGGCTCACGCCTGTAATCCTAGCTACTCAGGAGGCTGAGATCTGAGGATCACGGTTCAAAGCCAGCCTGGGCAGGAGAGACCGTGAGACTCCTATCTCCAATAAACCACCAGAAAACTGGAAGTGGCGCTGTAGCTCAAGTGGTAGAGCGCTTGCCTTGAGCTGAAGAGCTGAGGGACAGTGCCCAGGCCCAGAGTTCAAGCCCCACGACCGACAAAAAAAAAAAAAATGTATATTTCAAAACTTCAATGAGTATAGAAAGCCTTATGAGTTATTCAGTCTTTTGTAGCCACTTATAATGAATCATTTCAGATTTAGAGAATAAATATTTAGCTGAAAACTACCATCATTTCTTTTTATTTGGCATCTTAAATTTTGGTTCAATAGTGTAATTATTTATTATTATTATTATTAGTTGGTTATTTATTATTATTATTATTTGGTTCTGGATCTTGAATTCAGGGCTTAGGTGCTGTCCTTTGGCCTTTTCTTCTCAAGATTGTCACTCTAACACTTGAGCCATGCCTCCACTTCTGGCTTTTCTCTGTTTAATTGAAAAATAATAATCTCATTTTCCTGCCAAGCTGGCTTCGAACCACAATCCTTGGATCTCCACCTCCTAAGTAGAGAGGCCAAAAATGTAATTCTTATTTCACACGTATATCCAATCATCCTAGATGCATCCCACCAAATGCAGACCTAAGTTGTGTGGGCTCGCCGCGTGTCAAACAGCAGGTGGAGTCGTTTTGTGCAAAGATGCATCTTTTCTGGTAAGGCTTGTGAGAGAACACAGTCCAATCTTTTTCCATGCACAATGTAATTTGCATTTCTGACCATTCAGGATTATATTAAAATGGTGCAAAGAGTTCCTCCCAAGAAAGAGATTTGGAGATATTTTTTGGCGCCCTCAATTTCATGAGAATATGAGAATATCTAGTATCTTAGCCCCTGACCACTGAAAGCCAGACTTGCTCCTGGTAAGATGACAAACCACAGCCTCCTCCCTAACTTCCCAACAGGCCCTTTTTCCCTAGAGGCAATCCAATAATTCATGTCATTGCAAAAAAATGTCAGTAGGTGGCAGCACACACCAGGGTATGAAGTCCTGGAGCCCTGAAGTGAGTGAATCAAGCTTAAGATTTAGGGGACTTCACAGGAGGAAATAAGGGCTGCACTAGAGAGAACCCAGCAGGGCCCAGGCTTTCTCTGTAAGGTTGATTCCGATTGCTACAAAGAGCTGAGTCCAACACAATTTCACCACTAAAAATGAGGGTGAAAGAAGCTTTCACTATTTCTTGCTTGCTTTTCTTTTTCTTTTCTTTTCTTTTTTTTTTTTTGTGCCCATCCTAGGGCTTGCATTCAGGGCCTGGCACTATTCCTGGGCTGCTTTTGCTTGAGGTTAGTGCTCTATCACTTGAGCCACCACTCCCCTTCCAACTTCTTTGTGTGTTAGAGATAAGACTCTTAACAGAGTTTTCTGCCCAGGCTGGCTTCCAACTGCAATCGTCGGATCTCAGCCATCTGAGTAGCTAGGATTACACGTGTAAGCCAACGGCACCTGGGTTTTTAATATCTATTTTTATAAGCCCTGTACATTTGCTAAAAGATCTTGAAGCAGAAATGTCTGCTCAATCATCCACTTTCTCCCATTCAGGATAAAACTAATGGTGGCTAAAGAATCAGGGTTTCCATGAATGGTTAAGAGCAATCTAACCTTTCTGTTGGAAGTAAATTCACAGAAGGGACAGTAATCCTTGGGGAAGTCCAGGAAGATGTCACAAGAACGAAGATCTGATAGACAAGTATAGGCCAGGCATTGGTGGCTCACCCCTATAATCCCAGCTATACCGAAGTGGTTCAAAACCAGCCAGAGCAGAAAAGTGCAGGAGACTATTAACTCTAATTAGCCATCCAAAAGCCACAAGTGGAGGTGTGGCTCAAGTGGTAGAGATCCATCCTTGAGTGAAGAAGCCAAACAGATGTACATTAAGAATAAAGCAGATGTGCATTAAGAGTAAACAGGAATTGCTTCTGAGTTGATGCTATTCTCACGTTCAGTCACCTTTCTGTGACTTCTGTCACCCTCTCATTTGCCAGTGGCCTTGGGAAGACAAAGTACAGTTATTACACCAGTGCTATTCAGTGTGAGCAGAAAACCGGTGGCATCATTAGCAATGATGCCAACAACCAGACAGAGAGAGAGGGAGGGAAATCCGGGCAATTGGATGGCAATTGGACAGAATTCTCTCCCTCTGGACTCTCTCAACATCTGGGCTTGTGTCTTGCATATCTTGGTTTATTTCATAAAGGTAGAAAGCTGATCCTTCTGCAGTAAAACTCCAGGACACATTTGTCATGAAGCACCAAAATAGCAAGAAAGATAAGCGAAAGAAAGGATTCACACTGCATTGCTTCCACCTGCAACAGGAGCTTTTGTTACACTGGGGCATGCCCACACATGCCTGCTAGCCCAGAGCTGAAGAGGCTGAGGAGGGAGGATCCGGTGGTTGAAGTCAGCTAGAACTACAAAGAAAGACTTTTATCTTGAAGAGGAAGAAAAGGGAGGAAATGAAAAAGGGAAAGAAGGAAGGAGAGTGAAAGGGGAAGGAGGGAGAGAGGAAGGAAAAGAACAAGGGAGTGAGGGAAGAAAAGCAGAGCATTTATTACATTTCATCTAATTGCCTTCCCCCTCCCCCCCCCCATGCCCAATGGGACTGGTGATAAACTGTCCACAGGAGAGCAGAAACTTTTGTGACTGGAATGGATTTTGACAAGAGGAGCTGGGAATCAAAGCAAAGGGGTCTGGCTCCTCAACTCTTTTAAAATAGTATGGCTGCTGAATGATCAATGCCCTTCTCTCTACCATCCAACCAACCCCCACCCCCACCCCCCACGGGTCACAGTGCATTCTGGGACCAGGTGCCTCAGGGTTCCTGGCATTGGGGCAGACAAGTTGTCCAAAGTCAGCTGATTCTCAGCTGATTCAACTTTCCCTAAGTTAGGTAAAAGGTTCGGTCTTCTAAACCAGCAGATCATCAAAGGAAAGGTTAAAGCAATACCAGCACACTGGTTCTCATTTCCTGTAAACACACACACACACACACACACACACCTTGTCAAGCAAGAACAATAAAGGCTGCTGCTCACTCTCCCTCAATTAA